TAACAGCATTGAAGTTAGAAAACTAAATTATATTGAAATAAGTAAATAAATAAATGAGTCATTACAAAACAGTAAGGAACATATTTTCTTTTATAAAGACCTACATTTGTATTTGTTAATTTTTTTTTATGGATTGTGTCATTTTCACATGAACTTGATTTTTCTTAGAGCAATGAAATAGGTCCACTGAATAACAGGAGATTTTTTAAGATATTTATAACAGAGTAGTTGTGATTTCCTTAAATCAAAATAATGTAAAAATGAAATAAAGAGACTGGACACAATTTGAAACACAAATGAACAAGTGTCGAATACTCACACTAACATTAAAATGAATGGTCACGTTTAGTGGATCAGAGGTAGATTCTATTAGACTGACCGTCTACCAAACTGTTTAAACTTTACATTACTTACTTTAAAGGTAACGTGATACATACCCAAAATGATTAGTGCTACCAGTGACTGGCGATTCTCATTTAAACTTAAGGAAGGTCATAACCTCGAAGCATAATCTGATCTACCATTGGAGGAATACTACTATAAAATCCTTGCACAACGTGCAGTATTACAGCTCTACCTCGCATGGGCACACTAAATGTTATCTCAGTAGAATCACAAAGAATAAAAGCAAGCAATTTAATGACCTTCTTGACCATATGCTATTGGAAAGTTGCACATACCAGAATAACTGACAAAGTTTGAGTTATACAGTATTGAAATATGGAGGAAGAAAATACATAGTATTGTTGTACACCACAGTTTTCCTCCAAAATTCACTTCAGACTTGTTCTCAAACTGATAGTTAATTGCAGTTTGATAGATTGTTTAGGTAGAATATTCATGATGAAAATGTGTAGAATGGACAGCAACTGACTGTTGCAGAGACACAAGTGTAGAGGACGACGTTTTGAAGGTCTTCCGAAGACGAAAGTCGGAAGATTTTCGAAACGTCGTCCTCTACACTTGTGTCTCCACAACAGGCAATTGCCGTCTATTCTACAAAGTTTAATCAATTGATTTTCAATTTTAAACCAACAAAATCTATGCACTTAAACTGGTCAAAGAGTACGGTAAACCTCTCTTGCCCTTATAAACACTTACATGCAATGGATAACACAACCTTTAACAAAGATACAGTACATATTAAAATTAAGTAGATGTGCAATTTCACTAATTTTTTGAATGGCAAATTGCATACCCAGCTCTGCACTACAGATCTGGTGAAAGTCTACAAGTAAAAGTGAACTATTTTTAAAGCTATTGTAATGCACTTTAAATGTCTTATCTTAAAAGTTGTGCAGGTTATTTTAAAGAGACTGAACTCCTCCATCTTTTTTTCCTCTTGAAAACGCAAAAAATAGTCACCAATTTGCTAAGAATGCAAAAATATCGGTGAAGGTTTTCAGTAGCGTTTCTTACAACAATTTTCTTGAAGAATGCAGGAGTGGATATCAGAAGTGAGGAGGTGTAGCAGTCGAGTCGAGAAACTTGGCAAAAATGGCAAAGCAGTTGCGGCACTTCCTGTTCAAAGCAACTCATTTCACAGTAGAGATGTGGTCAAGATTTTTGCTGACTGAAATTGGGACATTTAATTCATTGAATTTAATAATAATATTGAATTTTGTTTCTACAAAAACTATATTCTACACCAAGAAGCAAGAAATATCCTAAAACATATTTTAAGTATGAAATTCTTCTTTAAGTATTTACATATATCATTACAGATTGTCACATACATAAGTAGCTTAAAAGAGACTGACTCCATCCCCTTGTAGTATTACAACACTAAAATCTGGGGTTTATTTCCATATAATGGACAAAGTACAGATAGCCCAATGTGTAGCTTTGCACTAAAAACAACTATAACAGATTGCCTCCAGCTCTCACACAAATTACTTTGGTAACCTTCTTGACTTACAGCATATCATGTTTTTCTCAATAGCCATAGTAATGTGTTGCCATATATGAGACATCCAACTCAACATAATTTTCTTTTCAGACCTCACGAAGTAAATAATCACTGACAGAATTCAGCAAAAGTAAGACTTTTGAGATAAAATTGTCGTAAACCAGACAAATATTTCTTCTGTTACTTCAGTATTTATCAATATACACTCAGAGAAAACACATCACTACATGTGGAGAAGTTATAAACTCTTCAGGTGTATGGAGAAACATCTAACAAGGACCATGCATTATGCTTCATAGAACTTCTGCCGCTCAGAAGATGAGGTGAGTCATTTTCGTGAAATGTCTCATGACATTTCGCCACAGAAGATTACTCAAAAGTTATCAAAGCAAAAGTTGTAATGCCTTTCCAATTAAGTTTTTGAGCTTATAGCTATAATTCACAGTTGTGCAAGCTGTTGATTTACTAGACATTTTATTTACTGGCACCACTCATCCTAAACTGTATTAAACGAGCAGCTATTATTTCACTCATATGGGTATCTTATAGTGAAACAGCTCGATAGCCTGAAAAGTAAGGGTTATGAAGCCCTTTTTGTCCAGCTTATCTCATGATCAACAAACTGTCCTGATTGTGGTAATCAAGTGGTTATAGTACAATGTGGTTCATACATCGTACCTTAAAATATAACCGGACAACTCAGAAAGCAGGGGATGCTGCTTACTTTCAATCATTGCTTCTTCAATCACATGACATAGTTGCATGATGATCAAGTGGTAACATAATGCACATACATTTTGTATTGTGATGCCACTCTACAACTCAGAAAACATACATACATTAAATATTTTGGTTGAAATTAACAGTCTTAACAAACATATGCTTAATAATCTGTATTACTCACACTTTACCACATCAAATATTCCGTAATTGTATGTACGATTTGTGTCTGGCATGGCTTGGTGGTTAGGGCAATCGACTTGCAATCTGATGATTGCGGGTTCGAATTAATTTTTCAATAACATGACTTTTTTAGCTGGGTTATGGTTGTGTTTAATCAAAATCATAGCAATTAGGAGGCTATTTTCAGTGGTTCAACCAACTGCTGGAGCTGACTTTCACCTCTAGATACAGTACTTCCTTATCTGGGTTATCTTGAATAGCCAGATAACTATTATAAGCCTTTTCCTCCTCTGACGCACTGGTCTCCTCCTCTGATTCCTGGTCAAGTCAGTCCACAAGAGGTTCATTGTAACATATAGACGTAGCTGGTCAATGTATACTATGCACTTTTGCATGCCGCTCAGTTACTGTAACTCATATATCATTGGACCATTTCGACTAATCAAATATATGAGGTCTTTTCCAGCTAGAGCTGAGTGGCTTTCATGCTGTTGACACATACCAAAGCCACACTATCTGCATTCTGGTACACTAGTTCCTTTACTGTCTTATGATAGTACTTATTTTATTGTATGGTAGTCCATCCTAGCTGTTGACATGCAAACTAATGTATATCAACTAAAAAGACCTTAATCACTTCACATACTCTTGTGGACATTGTAGGATGTCTGCTCAAGAGGGAGAACCATACATCACATCTACAGGGAACAAGTTTCCTTGTCCAAACCTGAGCAAGGTCGGTGAACAACTTGGCAATCTCTACTTGTTTGCATGATATGCCATCATGATGTATGGTGTTTGTCCTGGTCAGTTTGGTTGGGATTAACAGACTTAACAAGCATATGCTTAATAGTCTGTATTAAAAAAGTAGCATAATAACGTTTAGAATGTTGAATTATTTTGTTTTGTGTCTTAAAACCTCATTGTTTCAGTGATCCATGAAATACGTCATAACTTATTTAATATTTGAATCTATTTTTTAATAATATAAATTGGGATATAGTCTCCTATGTCTTTTCACAAATAACTGGACATAAGAGTAAAAGTAAAGTATAATATTACATTCATCCAAAAAAAGCATGAACGAAATGAAAGCCAAACTTCAGCTTTTGCTCAAACAGTAGGTGATATCCCATAAACACAGCATTACTTATATTGCATCGTTTTATTCACTGAATTTACATGCAGTTTAACTCCTAATCCACCGCATCACATGTTCTTCATTGTAACTGAACGATTGATAATTCCGAGATACACAAGCGAAGCCAGAATTCAATGTTTCTCTATATTTTAAGTGTCAGCTTCGAAAGTAATATTTTATAACGGGCTTATTTTAGTGAAACCAGAATTAAGAATAGCATTTTGTAAAATATGTTTAATGTTACTGCACCAGTTGTTCTTTTCTTGTGTTTATAAGAATTTTCCTTTAACACTAGCATTAGTCTTTACTGTATAAAGTTTGAAGCATTCTATAATTATTTCGTTTATGTTTGTCTGTATTTCTAAGGTGTATTTGAAGACCCCCCAGTGGCACAGCGGTATGTTTGCGGACTTACAACGCTAGAAACCGGGTTTCGATACCCGTGGTGGGTAGAGCACAGATAGCCCATTGTGCAGCTTGGTGCTTAACTTCAAACAATCAAACAAACTGATTCTTGAAAATGTTTGTTGACTGATCAATGGTATCGGTTAAAAACTCCAATCTCACGCTCCTTGTCGCTATTATGATCCAGAGAACGCAGATTCTAAGAATATCTCCTTATAACGCATATTTCAAACATTTAAATTATTTTGAGTGAAACGTTTGGCTTGAAGGCTCCACTATAATATTTTACACTTGTGACTTGAAGGAGCTAATGGTAACCATTAGTGTTAATTGTTTTTTATTTGACCCAGATTTCAAACTCATCATAACTTACCATTACATTGAAGTATTATTAAATACATAATTACTTGTTTCGGAAATAATGTTTTTTGTTTTTTTACAGATCTTACTATTCATAATGGGCATACTCACAACAATGCTCTGTTACTTTCTTAGGATCGGTTGATGTCTCAACTGCACACAGATATATACACACTCAAATATTGCAGGCTATCGGACTGTAAAGAGGTGATAGTCTGGCTTCATGTAAACCGCGCGTGCATGCGCGAGTCCTTTCGCGCACGAGCTCAAGAAGAATGACAACCAGGAACTGTCAGCTTCGACTTTCTTCTTTTACAGTGAACTGTGGTAAACTTTCTCTGTGTTGGGCATACAACAGTAACTACGTTCATTGCGTTCAACGGGTTGACAGAAGATAATGCTGGTGAAGGTTGCTTAGCTGTATTTTGGCACACGGGTAAATAGGTTGTGTTAGGTGATAATCTAAGTAAAACAAAATTCTAATTTTAAACGCGGTTGAAGACTGAATTTAGTTTATTTTTTATTAAGAGACTTAAAGTGAAGTAGAAATACGTTTTAAGTTAACAACTGTCTTAGAAAGATTAATATATTGTGAGATTGAATGTTAGTTTTGTACATAAGAGACCAATTTAAAGCTGATATAGTCCTGGCAAATCTTTAGCGAAGATAAGATAACTTAAGCTAGATTTTTCATTGTAACAGGAAATAGTTTCGATCACACTAGAATAATACGTAGACATGGATTCATTTTTATTTGAAACTTTCTAGTTTCAAATCTGCAGACTAGGATCTGTTGCTGAGTTATGGATTTTACACGTGTTTTACTTATCTAATGGCTTTATCCTTCTATCTACACTCAACTATTTTTGCTGCTAACCGCCAGTAAAATGTATTTACCCAAAATATTACCCTCTGGCAGGGGAAGTATTAAACTATGACCAAATGTTTTTATACTCATATATATTGATGTATATTGTAGTAAAATAACAAATATTAGTTCTGGCTTATGATAGTTTTATTTGAAAAGTCTTACTTTTGCCGAATTTTGTCAGCGATTATTTACTTCGTGAGGTCTGAAAAGAAAATTATGTTGAGTTGGATGTCTCATGTGTGGCAACACATTACTATGGCTATTGAGACAACCACGATATGGTGTAATCCAAGAAGGTTACTAAAGTAATTTGTGTGATAGCTGGAGGCAATCTGTTATAGTTGTTTTTAGTGCCAAGCTCTACATAGAGCTATCTGTATTCTGTAGCTCAGAGGAATGTTTGCTGCTAACCGTCAGTAAAATTTATTTACCCAAAGATTACCCCCTGGCAGGGGGAGTATTAAACTCTGACCAAATGTTTTTGCTTCTATCACCGTGAAAGGTGGGTACTTAGGGGAGAAAGGGGTAAACTAAATCCAAGTATGTTAACCAGAGAAAAACCCTGGCAGGAAGAGAAGTTAACTATATCCAAGTTCCACTCTTTTTTTTTTATCCAAGAATTATCTTTGGGAGAAAGAGTATTGAAATATGCCCTAATGTTTTAGTTAGGAATAACATTCGGCAGAAATACCATTACCCTATGTCTAAATTTGTTTGCTAGATGTGGTCAGTTGCCTGAAGATGACATCATAGGTGTTTGCTTTGAAGATTATAACTATAGTAAACATCTTTAAGTAAACATCTTTAAGTTCTATCAATCGGTGTCTTCAAAGAAATTCTTTGCCTAATTAGGGAACAAGAGAACATTTTACAGAGGAGCAAAATTAATTAATACGTCCAGAAACGTTATTATTTTAGAAAGACAGAAAGGTGGTCGTTCAGCTTTACATTTAATTACTAGGCATAACTTCGAATATTTTGATATAATACCTTTTGTAAAAAATCTGATAATAGCAAGATATGACAACCAAATGTTAAGTGAGGTTTTAACGTAATAATTCACGAAACAAGCAAAGGATGTGTTGTTCATCCACACTTTGGTTTAACTCCTATCCGTTACTTCGTGCTATCTTTAAAAACACCAAACTCCGTGACAACCACAATTTTACCTGGCAGCGAGAGACTATAATATTCAAATAAAAGTCAAGGTTTTCTAACCAACCAGTTTCACCATTTAAGCCGGATATGCGGTTGTCTTTTCACATCTTTTTCCTTAAGTGTTGCTTAACAAGACCCACATATTTCTTCTATTCTCCTAAAACTAAAATGATTTAAAGCCTTGACTTACGTGAAACATGTTCTGTGAAAACTCCTCCTAGATGGCGCTAAAGTGTTGGATTTGAAAATTTATATCTGTTAATTTTTTTTATACTTATGACAAGCATTTTCGTCACATGATTTGATGTGAAACAAACACAAGTTAACTTAATTGCACCAGCACTAATCACATACGTACGTAATCACGTACATGTATATTGAGAATAGTTTCACTGTTAAGTATTTTCAAACGAATTGTTTGCCTAATTAGCGAACAAGAGAAAACTTACTTTTACGTTAATTATGAGATATAATTATTTACCTGAACAATGTTATGTCAGTATTTTATGCGACGACCATTAACATACATGGCTGTAAAAAGTCCGATTGCTAAGATTAAAATTAGTAACAAAGTCACATATGTAATACTAAAACCTTTTTAAACGTGATTTAAAGTCTGTATTGTTCAATGTAAATTAAATTATCACCAAACAAAATTATCCCATTATCTTTATAACCTCTGCGAGTGCGACTTTACAATAATGCTCGTTAACTGAGAAAAAAGCGCTATTCTTAAACTGTTCATACGTTAAATGAAAACGCACACTTTAACGCGGAACGTGTCTTTTGTTATCAGTTTAAGAGAAACTGACATTTACTTAAAACATTCTGTCATTATCATTCTACTGCTCATTGTTCTCATAATGCTGAACTACAGCAAGGGCGTGGTCACGACTTAAATTGAATTTTTTACAACAGAAGACGAATCAAAGAACAGTGGCATGTGAAAAGTCGATGCACGACCAAATGTTTGATATACTTAACTTATTCACATCTGGACAGTACTTTCTCTATCGGTCTTTTGTGTAAGTTATTTATATATTTTTTACTTTAATGATTTTCTCTGAGTATAAAATTTATTTGTTTTTGTTTTTAACTTACGAGACTTCATGCTTTACCAGCTGAAGATAAGCTGTCAACATGTTTAGCTTTTCTTTCAGTGATTTGTAAACGCTCTTATCACAGAACACTTGATAAATATCCACAACCATGTTAAACTCCAAACAGTACTGAGGAATTTACTATCTATCTTTAGGTTGAAAAATACACGCATTCAGAACTTTCCTAGTAGTAGGGGTCATTGTAATGTAGAGATTGTAATTTAGAGAAATTGACAATTTCAATCAGCTTTATTGGGTTTACATGGTAGTTTCTCTAAAGCACGGGTGAAACAATGTTTACATTTCTAAACGGAATGTATTTGAAATTTGTACTCTGAACGGTACTTTATGCACACGTGAGCTAAAACGACCAGCTTGAAGATCTCTAGGCTACAGATATCCTAATGTTCCTAATTTTGAACTGTATGGAGGATAGGTAGTCAGTAGTCCTCGTCGCCATAAGGGCCTTATCCGCCACTTTGAGATGAATAATAAGACTGACTCTCACTTTAAAAAAAAAAAGCTGACATCTGAAAGTGTGTAGTGTATTCACTGGCATCATATTTCCAACTTTTGACAGTTTTTTTCCGCAGACTCGTAAATTATTCACTTGACCACGCAGTTACCCTAGACGGAATGTCAATGCGGTTTTTTTTACATGGAGTTTTCGAAATACTTCTTATTTCTTCGTAGAAAAAAATACTTTGAGCTGTTAGTGAATGCTTTATAGATTTAAATCTTAATTCCCCATAGGATCAAGTAACGCTACCCAAATTAGAAGATTCTGACTGATATTCACCTGGTTTTACTCCAAATGTCCTCTCATCGATGTTCGGGAGCTGTGGTAGTTGTATCTGTTCTTGTATTTTATAGCCTGGTTTTTACAGGTGAGTGAAATATCAGTACCTTTAGCGTCAATGTAATTATTATTATTACATAATCAAAATCTTTACATACAAAATAAGTGGTAAGTACTCGTTAGGATTCGTTTGAAGAAATGAAAACTAAGACTGGATTTTGAACTTCACAAACCTACTGGGTTAAATCAAAAGCCCTGCCAAATTCAGTCCTCAACTCCAATTACGACTTGTTTTTATACTGCTTCCTGCCGATAGGATCAACATTTTGTTTCATATTGAGTGATTTTGTTTATAGCCTGTTACAGCACTAGATAAAAAGAAATAACCAAAGAAGAATGAACGAAATCGCTTATTATCTATGTCAATGGATGGGAGTCTCCAACAGAAGTTAGTGAAATTAATTGTAATGTTTACATCATGTATGTATACATTTGCTTTTGTTATTCAACCTTGTAATTAACAAAGCTGTAGATGCACAAGCATTTTGATGCACAAACGCCGATGGGGTCCACAAGGAACTCATTTGTAATTGTAGGGTTAAAACATATTAATTGAAAACGTTCGTTGCAGCATTCGAGACTTAGTAACTTAGATGGCTGACGTGTTTATTCTGTGAACAGTCAAAAGTTCCAGTTTCGCCCAGTTTTACTTTTGACTCCTACAAAAAGATTATTAATTTCATAAGATGGTGTGCCACCTTTAAATTCCCATAGCTAGTAAATACTAGTCTTTATTTGTTCAAAAGAAAGTAATTAAAAACTATTACACACATATCACTATACTGACGTAATAGAAAAATCACTCTTCGTGCTTAATCGAGTAATTGTGTTGGCTGAAAAAGACCATTGTCAAATTTAAACAAGCTCATTAAATCGTATAATATTTCTTTCGGTCTGGAATTAAATAAGCAAAAAACATGATGATTTATTCATTGCCTTAAGTGAGAAATTAGTACTCAAAAAACCAATTCGTCTATTAATCTGATTTTAAGAATTCCTTTTTTTTTTCTCGCAAAGGACAAAGACCTAGAGTATTAACTGAAATCACTCTTGTTTAAAACACATCTTATGTATGTATATCCGCATTCGTTTAGATGAATAATTATGACCGTAAACTCAAATGCACTTTGTTGTACAATTTATTACACTGGTTTCATTATATTTGACTCTAGAAATAACAAAATGAAGTCCCATGACTATCAAGATTTAAGAGAGTGAGGTTACCAACGTCATGGCTAAAAGTCTTTGTTTGACCATATAGATAGATCAAACGATAGAATTTTTCTCAGAGAAACATTCTAAAGCCTTCGTCAATCGCACTACTGGGTCACTCTGAAGCTTTGTTAGGTTTCGTTGGTACCAGTCTACGATTGAGTGTTAGCATTCAGACACAAGTAACTGTGGTGAAATAGAGTGGCATATGGTAGGTACAGTTCAGTCCATTAAGCGAGACACCGGAAATACATTGACTACTAACAGGAAATGGTCGAGTTATTGTATGGTAACAACGTACATGCAGTTCCATTGTGATTGAACAATCTCGTGTCCAGTATGCAAAGGAGTTCACAAGAACATTGCTACATAAACCATTTTTATTTCTTGTTATGTTCACTTATGGTCGAAATTTGGTGTAAACTTAAAAGTCTAGTTTTTATGGATTCACATGTAATTCTCGATTTATATAAAAAAAAAAGGCGCCACTTAGGTTGATAAATATTTGAGTTGATAAAGGATTAGGTTTAGTAAATTTGGTATTAACCAAATTATTATATGTAGTGATGATTCTAGGCAAACTTGACTGAAGTAATGTTGAATTTAGGTTTAATTAAATCGGTGAAAATATAATAATTGAACATACAAAGAAAAATGTCACAACAGTAAAAATTCATCATTGTTAACTTGTTTGACAAAATCATTTTATACATTCAGTTGTATGAAATTCCCATGTTTCTATAAATTTTCAACCAAATATTTTTAGAATGAATGCATAAACTGCCTGATAGCAAATGTTATTTTGAGGTTTCCGGTCTCATCAGAATATGAAAGAATGAAATAAAAAAAGTGAAAATGTTCTTGGTCTGATCAAATTAATAGATTTACCAAACGTATGAAACCAGCTTCCGAACCCAAAGGAAATTATCAGAATAGGAACATTTTTGGCAATAATCTAGACATTATTGAAGCGAAATATTTTTGTGAGCTTTCTTAGTGCTATATAATTATATTTTGTAATTGTATTGACCTCATATATCTGTCATACATTTTAAGGTCTGGCATGGCCTAGTAGTTAAGGCGCTCGACTCGCAATCTGATGGTCATGGGTTCAAATCCCTGTCACCGAAAATGCTCGCTTTTTCTGCGTTGGAGGCGGGTGGTGTTGACTAGCTGCCTTCCATCTAGTTTATCACTTCTAAATTAGGACGGTTAGTGCAAACCTAAGCAAACTTTTTTGAAATTAAGGAAATAAAACGGCGTAAAGATTACTCCAGATTAATCAGGAGATGAAAATTTTCTGCCAATAGTGTACTCGTAAGACAAGTCCTCCTATGGGCCAAGTAGACCGTTAGGTCACCGGTAAGTCTACGGACTTACAACGCTGGAACTTAGGGTTTCATTCTCCTCGGTGGACAGAGCACAAATAGTTCAATGTTTAGCTTTGCGTTAAAATTAATAAACCGGTCGACCAGCGTTAAAATTGAAGACTTACAACGCTAAAACCCGGACTTCTATTCACTGCGGAAAGCAGACAACCTATTATGTAGCTTTGCACGAAAGGTAAAAACAACACAATCATAAGACAAAAATTTAAAGATCACGTGATGTTATAAAACTATGATACATTTATTTGTATAAAACTAAGATTTATTATTTTGTGTTCTTTATCCAATCAGTAATCACTGTAATGCAAGTTCACAATTATTATTAAAGCTTAGAATTTTATTGGATAATCAACATGGTTTCACTAAAGGAAAATCTTGCCTTACAAATCTTTTGATATTCTTTGAAAAGTATACTGTAGGTTGTATCTAAAGAAATATTGAATACAAGTCTAAAAAGATTATAATTTCATTGTACAGATCACTGGTCAGGCCACATTTGGAATATTGTGT